TTAGGAAAACCTACCTATATTGCAATTATTTTTACACAAAAATTCATTTTTTTTTTTTTTTTTTTTTTTTTTTTTTTTTTTTTTTTTGGTTGCCTTTCTGGTCAGAGTATTGAGGCAAGTTCTATGTCATGTTCTGTTTTGTGTCCTTGAATTTTTGTGTTCACCTTAGGATTCATTGTACTTGCTGTCTGCTTAATAGTCACTTAAAATATTTTAAAAATTAAAAATGATTACATATTAAATATTAATATTTTGCTGCAAACCCTTATTGACTCCTAAGCACTTGTTATGTTGTTACATATGCCATCCATACTATTTCAATGTAACTTCTCAATTATAGGCTCAGCAGTTTGTCTCTGTCTTTTTACCACTTCCCTCTCAAGAAGAAGATTTTGTTACATACGTAGCATGTGCGTTTAGTTTAAAGGTAAATATTTTTTTCCTCACACATTAAAGATATTTCAACATATGCTTCTATATATTTTCAGTAGGCTTGTTTTAACATCTTGTACAGTTCATTAGTGTATAGATGTAAACAATTATTCTATTCTAAGAATTAAGACATTTTTCCATAGAAATGTATTTTGTGGAGTCTTTATAGGGAAACAAATATCTAAGGAATATGATCTATGGAAAATTATTCTTTCAAGGATAAAGGTGTGAGGAAACCCAAATAAAATAGCTCCGTATCTATCAAATCCTCTCTTTTAAAGCAGAATAAAAATGCTGTAAGTTCCTGATTAAAAAGAAGACAGATTAAAATAATTATGTTTAAACATACTTGTAGAATTCAGAGATTGGTATTCTGTCTTCATGGGACATACAAGTATTTTATTAGTTATGGATATTATGATGAATTGGAATTCATAATACAGGTTAATAAGTTATGGGAAAATACTTAGTCAATTTTTTGTAATTTGTTACTTTTATGTATTTTATTCATAATTTTGGACATCATCAGGTGACTTACCATTATACCAAGCTTTTAAATGAAAAAAAAAGAAAGATGTATCAAAAGTTGGTAACAAAGTTGCAGTCTCAAGTGCAGTCAAATATATTACTTGTTACAAATGATGAATAGTGTCCAATGACTGTTTCTTCATCTCTGTGCTGTTGCTCTCCTTACTTGTTATATTTCTCCTTTTTAGGCTCTGCAATTCTTACAGTTGCTGGTTTCCCAGCTTACTATAGATATTTTCTTTATTGACTGGGAGAGACCTAAGGGCAAAGTTCTTAAAGCAGTTGAAGGTAACTCAAACCGTGCTTGTTTGTATAAACAGCTTTGGTTAAATTCAAATATTACTCTCATGTATTAAATTTCAGAGCTTTATTCTATGTGTTCTTTTTAGGTGAAGGTGTTATTAAAAGTGCTGCTGCACCCGTGAGCATATGGAGGACATATTTTATAGCAAATGAATGGAATGAAATTCAGACAGTGAGAAAGATAAATCCCCTCTTTCAAGTGCTTGCAGTTCTTTTTTTTCTGGAGGTATTATTACTACAATTATTGTTATTGTTATTAATTTGTTTCTGACTCACAACCAGAGTGTAACATCTGTAAGAGTCTGCTTTTTAATTCTTGTATTCTCTGTGGTAAGAGCGAATGACCTTCAAGTTCACCTGAAAACATGTGATTTAGTAAAATCATTATTTTAATATACTTTTTAATTTATAAGTATGTATGTGTAGTCCATTGCAATATTTCATTAAGAGAGACTTAAAAACATAACCAAACCAACCTTTAATTACCCGAGAGGCCTTTGTTAGCTTGCTTTGTTTTTTTTTTTTTTAAGGTAATGAGTTATCCTAAATGGCTTAAGAGACTGATAAAACTGTGTACACACTGAACTCATTATTTGTGTACTGGCTCCCTCCTGCCAGTCTACAGCTTTATTTCTGCTTTCATATTTATCTGATCTGAGCTTCCTTCCTGCTAATTTGTGATAGTGACCTTTTATAAAGCAGGAAATGAAATGTGCCAGTTCTGTTCCTGATGGCATAACACAAAGCACTTATGCCTTGAGTTATGCCTTAGAGATATGTGAGAAATTGTGCTTTAGCTTTTCAAAAACCTTTTGGTTTGTTTCTTCTGTAGTTTGGCAAGTACTTTTATTTTGGGAAGTATTCTTAAAGCTTGCAGCATATAGTTGTTTATGTGAGGTTCTATTACATATCTTTAATACCCTTATTCATTTTTATATTTGAGTTTTTAATTTCCTATTTTTATTTGAAACTAAATGTGGTAAAAATACCCCAAATTTCCCTTATTCACTACATCTGTATTTTTGCTGTTGGTAAATACAGGCCAGGACCAACTTAGGTGCCATGTTACAAGGAAGGAATGGGAGAAAAGAGAGCACATTTTCCCCAAACTAATTAATTTTCTCAGGTTCAATCCTCGTAGGCTCCTGTTTTACTAGAATGGAGAGACTACTCTTAGTAGAGAATCATCAATATCTTGTTTTGTAACTGGAACACTGGAATATGTGGACCCAAAAAGTTGAAATTTGGCAGAAAAAAAATCAGAATAATATGCAGTCTAACAGTAGAATCTTTTGGAGTTTTTCAGTAAAGATCAGTATTGGCTTTTCTTGAGATACATCTGCGTATGTTTTTGAATTTATGTATACACACATGTGTATACAGTTTATGGCTTTAATTATGTTTCTCACTAATAACACTGGATCACACAATTGGGATCTATCATAGTGAACATGTTACTTATTCCCAGGTCCATTTTTCCTACTTTTTTCTTCTTATTTCCTGTTGTGATGGAAACAACAGGGTCGTAATCAATACCCTTCATTGCCTCATGTCGCTATATTGACCTTGTTATCTCTTCAGGTGGTGGGATTTTCAAACCTGGCTTTAATGGATTCTTCTTCCAGTCTTTCAAGAAGCAGTGAGAGTTACATAGCTCCTTGGAGCCGCATTTTAAGATTTGGTGTGTCTGCTGCACTCTGGCTTGCCATTGCCTTCTTACAGGTAGGTGAAACACATGACACACTGAATTATCATTTTCAGGCTGGTTATTGGAAGCTACAATACATCACTAGGCCATCCCAGGTACCTATCACAGCATTGGGTATATTCTTAACTGGTTGGCCTGATTTAGACTTTTAGCTGCTTTAGCATGGTAGACTTTTAGAACTCAAAATGGATCTTCTGAGCTAGAGACATCTTACTTTGCAGTCAGAATTTGAATGCTCTCAAAGATGTGAATTTATGCAACTACTTTGTTTTGTTTTAAACAACTTTGAAGCATCTCTAAAATGAAAAGCAAGTTATTGCTACAAATTTACTTTTTAGAGGAAGGATGTCAGTCCCAGTTCATAGAGTCCAATGCAATGGTGGCCACTACAGAAATCTGTAGTTTGTGGTGTTCAACTGTGAAGTTAATTGCTTAATAAAGTCAAATCTGATGAACTAATAAAACAAAATTTGGTTGACTTTTTTACAGATAATATTTTTTTCTGTGGTTTATGAAAGATTTATTGAAGATAAGATAAGCCAATTTGTTGATTTGTGTTGCATGAGCAATGTAAGTATTTCTTTGTCTCATATGTATAGTGGCATTTTTAATAGAATAATACATAAGAGAGTTTTAAGAATATTCAATTATATTTATTCATTGAATTTAATCAGGGTTTACTAACTAACAGCCGAAGTCAATGTTTCTTTCAGCTCACTTTATTCACGCAATCTACAAAAAGATATCAGTTAAACTTTAATTGGAAAAATGTTCTGGAACCATAAGTATCAATATATTCTTCTAGATGTGTAATTTTTAGGGTTTTTTTGAAGTTAAATCAGTTACATATGCTCATAGAGAATTAAAAGTAGCAAAATATGACAAATTAGGTGTGGAACCATTTGCTGCCTTTCTGTCTACTGGTTTGCATTTTAATACTTTTGTCTTACAGACACAGCTGTCTTGTTTTTATTTAATATGTTTATGTTCAGTTTCTGCTCCTGTCTTGTGGTTGTCCCTCAACTGGTAAACTTTGTGGTTGTCCCTCAACTGGTAAACTTTGTGGCTGTGCCTCTTGGACAGTTATCACCTTTTTCATGCATTTTCTTTTACATCTGAACTACTTCCCTTTCTCTAGTTTAAATATGGGTCCTGAAGGTACTGCAGAAATTTCTTTTTAACTGAAGAAGAGTGCAGTTAGAATAGGCTGGATTAGCTCATTTGTCCAGAATTTTTTAAAAATGCAGAGATTAATCCCTTTTATCAGCCTTTCCAGCCTTAGTTATTCCTCTTCCATGAAACACTCAGGTAGTGCAGGGGTTGTAGAGAGAGTTAATTTGTTGTTTCATGTGATATATAAACATTGTATCATATTGAATTAAATTCTGTTAAATACAGTCTCCTAGGAGTTCAGCTGGAATCATGCATATGTATTATGTATCACAGCAATAACTCTTGAATCAAAATAAAAGCTAATAACTTTGCTTAATTTTTTGCCTCTGTGGAATTAAGCAGTGATCCTTGCCGTTGATAAACTAAACTTGAAGCTGGTGTGTGTTTCTAGTTAAACATAGATAAAACTAATCAGTAAAAGCGTTATTAAATAATTTTCTGCCATAATTATTTTGGGATCTGCCTACTTTGTAGAGAGGCTGGTCTTGCTGATCTTCACTGTGGATTCAAAAGTTCAAAAATAAAATTATAATGTTTAACTAAGTGTTTTTCTCTCCCCTCATCTCTCAGATTTCAGTCTTTCTCTTGTCACACAGCTGCTTTGGTTATTATATCCATGGTCGCTCTGTGCATGGACATGCAGATACCAATATGGAAGAAATGAATATGAACCTAAAGAGAGAAGCAGTAAGTAAAAGTATAAAAGTTTACACAAACTCTAATTATTTATTTTATTAAAAAAACCCCACGCCTTTGCATTATAGATCTGCACTTTTGCATTACATTGTGCCAAGTTATGATACTTAAAAGATACCAGCTGTTGGCTTGTAAATATGTGACTCAATAGTTCTTTTAACTAGCTCTTCGTCTTTCTTCACTATTTCTTCTCTGTTACTTCTTCAGATTTCATAGATATAAAGTTTTTGCTTGTATTTAAGAACCTTCTTTTTGATACTGAGGCTTTTCGTAAGCTCATGGCCACATTAAAAAAGATGCATATCAAAAAGCTTTCATAAAGAGACAAATATGAAAAACTTCTAATAAAGAAACATCTGCTCTTTCAAGAAATTATTTTATTTTGTCTCTTCTCCTGGTGATATAACCTCTTCTTTACAGAAATTAATTTAAGTATTTTTTCTAGTTCATTGTATCTTTGCTGCAAGATCAGGCAAATGTAAAATGTATAATACAAGATTGGAGCACTTTGCACTAAATTTCATGACATCTTGTATCTTTGTAGGGACAAGTAAGAAAAAAGTACCTTAGACAAAGGATATTGCTATTTCAGTGATAAATGGACAGAAAAAAATAACCATGTGAAAATTAAATCTCAAACATTAAAATATTTTAATAATATTGCTGACTTTTGTGTTCCTATGTTTTTTTTTTCTTATTGCTTATTTTAATACAATTTTGGTAAAAGCAGTTTTCCCCCTATGGAGATGTTGAATTTTCTTGTGGTTTTAGAGATTAATTAAATGTGACCTTAAAAACATATGGAAAAAGTCAGGAATCCAAAGCACGAAAAAAGCAGGACGAGTATAAAATAAATTATAAACATAAAAGAAAGGGTTTCAGAATGTATGTCAAAAGATGTGTTAGAAGGTAATGAACTGAATACAGGTGAAAAGAAGAATATGCCTTTGTGACAGTAGGGGTCAGGATTTCATGTCCTAAGAAAATCTTGCTATATTAGAACCAAAAGTGTAGTGGATTCAAATATTTAGAGATACAAAGTACTATGTGCACATGAATGAGAGGAAATGAAAAGCTTTTGACTTTTTTTTTGGGTCTATGAATGACATTAATAATGTTGATTTACAATTGTTTTAATTGCATAGGAAAACCTGTGTAGTCAGAGAGGTTTGTTACCAAACACAGATGGCCAGACATTTCAGATTTCCATTTCAAGAAAAATGCGACTACACTATGACAGGATTCATGAAAGCCTAACGAGAGTAAGTGAGATATTTGTATTCTGTAAATGTTATTTAAAATATGTATTTTTTTCTGCTGAAATCATGGTCATGTTGCATTTCAGAAACGTGGTCCTGCTAGGCTTTTGGACTCATCTGCAAATATTTTTGAACAAAGCACAAGGGCGTACAACACCATGAACAAATTTCTCAGTTCTTTTATTGATCACGTATGTATATATCACATGTATATCACATTGCTATATTAAGGATAGTAAGTAAAGACTAAAAATCGTAAATCTGAAAGACTGTAATTTCTCTCTAAGCATATGTGCTTAAAGACTTGCTGTTGAAAATTTTATGGCATTTGGAACAGTGCTTCATTCAAAAAAAAAATAAAAAAGGAGTACTTTCCATCAGTGCAGCCTGCTCTTAAAAATGACAAATAATTTTTTTGTTATGTGCTTATTTTTTGTCTTGGAATAGACCAGTGCTTTTTTTTAATTTATAAAGATCTACATAACTGTACTTCATTTTGTAACAAGAACTTTGTCTTTGAAATCATAAAACAAGAAGTGCTGTTTTTCCTTTTCTTATAGGTTCATAAAGAAATGGATTATATTGTTAAAGATAAGCTGCTGCTTGAACGGATTCTTGGCATGGAGTTCATGGAACCGATAGATAAAAGTATTTTTTACAATGGTAAAAAGATTTCTGATTTGATATTTGTACTATTATAAGCATGTAGGGTTTTGTGTAGATTTCTTTCTCAGGATTTATAATCCAAACTGGACTTTACAGAAGAGGTCATTAAACGCCTGCTTGTGAGGGAGGTATTTAAGAGAAGTTCTTCAGGTTACAGAAATCCTATTTATAATTTGTCTCTTGACTGCAATGTTTTTTAATTTAGGCAACTGAAAGGGTACTGTGTAGAGAGGTGCATGTGTTTATGAAGTGTGCCTTTGACTTGCTATCTAGATCCGTATCCACTTTGTAAACAGAAAGAAGACCCACGAGATGTAAATAGTTCCATGCTGATTTATTTTTTTTTTAATATAGACCCAAATTTCTTATGAAACAACCAAAAGTACAGAAAGACAATTTCTTTAAAGAGGATATTGATCATAGTGAGGATGTTTTAGTGGAATAGTTGATGTTAATATGCCACTCATCTTTTCAGACTCCCCTAAGTAATTTGGGTTCTTGAATATTTTATTTTGAAGCTTTTTGAGCATTGCCAAATCCGACAGCAAAAATGAGTATTCCAGCAGAAACAGGGATGGCACCACTTCTGATTCTGGTCCCTGGAGCTATGCAAAATCAGTCAGATTTGGGTTCTCCAATGCATTGTCCTGAATCCCAAGCCCATGCTAAACCTAGCCATAAGTATTTCAAAGTTAAAAATAGATTTAGTGAAAGCTCTTGACCATATCTCATCCTTCAACCTAGGTTCCTAAACAGAAATCCCTGGAAAATGGATGCTGTGAAACACCAAGGCTCTAAAAACCTTAACCTATTCATAACTGGGGCCAGATGACCAATACCTGCATCACTGGGATCCTCATCCAGCCTTAAGTCCTCCCCTTCCAAGGTTCTGGAACCTTAACAGACGTGGTCTGGGGACCAGTATCCACACTGCAGCAAAATATGAGCTGTGAACTTAGTCCTCATAACAGTCTGCTTCCTCAGTCCCTGAGCTGAACAGAATCCATCAAAAATTATCTTTGAAAACCTTAGTTCAGATCCCAATTCTACCCCTAACCATAAGTATGGCCACTACCTGCATGAAAACTAAACATTAGCTGGTCATCCAAGGTGATGCAAGCCCTCATGTTGAGTCCCTCAAGCACTCAGCTCTCCAGCCTCACTGTTCAGAAACTCTAAACCTTATCAGAACTGTAATCCAATCCATAGATATTACCAGGTGCCCATTACACATCCTAAATACGTCATTTTTCTTATGTAATAGCAACCTGCAGGTTACATCCCTGTACATCCTACAGCTTTAGTCTGTGATTCCACACGATGCAGTATCAGTCATTCCAAAACCCTATTCTAAAGCCCAGGACTACTCACCCCTAAATACTGGCACGTATGCAATCTCTGAATTAGAATTAAGTGTGTAAGCGGGATGGGATGTCTCCAAATTGTGCAATATTCAACAAAGGTTTGGACTTTTGACTGCCATTGTTTCAAAGTTCGTAATCGTAAGCGTTGATATAAATATATTGTTCAATGGCTTAGACTGCCATGGTTCCCAAAAGTTTAGATACAAATCCAGATTTGTTGGCAGTAGGACATACATAATTTGTAATGAAAATAGGCTGTTTCTAATAAAACTCGCACCAGACGTTTTTCTGAAAAAGTAGAAAGAGGGAAAAGAACCTCTTTTCTGTAATTGTTTATTTTAAATGTTCTTTTATCTTTTCAATAAAATAAAGAAATGGATAAGTAGTCTAGACTACTTTGGCAATGAATAAGGTATTTTAAGCTTAAATGACCAGTTTTCCGGGAAACTGTTAACCAATGAACAGAGATAATGTTAAGCTCTGAACCTCCTCCTAAGTAAGGCTTTAAGCATATGTTTTTATTATTTTGTTGAGTTGTGGCCAGAGTTAACACTTGCTCAAAATTTCAGTGACGAGGAAGTTACATCTGGTTCTTGTTCAAAGCAGCCTTTTTTAAACAACCTGATTGAGATTTCAGGAGTGAATTAAGTTCAATGTAGCACATGGGCTTTTCCTATTGCGTTCCATCAGTATAAAGCCATTTAAAGTGAAAAAGTTTTTATTAATGTGTTTAAATAAGATTATTTAACTAGCTCTTATTATGCCATAGAATGCCCAGAACTAGCTCTTGCTCTGACTTCCCTTTTTCTTGCCAGCTCTCCCAGCATGGACTGATGAGCGGCACAAACTTGCACTTCACAGAAATAATCATTTTTCAAAAATTGTTTTCTTTCTGTAGATGAGGGACAGTCCTTCAGTGATGTTCTCTATTATGGCAATGAGACAACACTGCTCATCTTCGATATCCTGTTTTTCTCCATTGTGGATCTGGCTTCCCAAAGTTTTGTTTTAGCAGCTATTCTAACATATTTGCAACAAGAGGTAAATTTCAATTTAATAAGAAAGTCGTATTTTGAAAATGTGGGTTAGTATGGAAGTTTATGTTCTATTATCTTAGTTAACTAGATAATTAAGGCAGTAAGTTAGCAGTATGCAGTGACAGAAGATTATACTGAGGGCTTGTAAAATAGTTTTTTGAGTTTTTTTGTCAAATAGGCTTGTGAGAAATTAATGTTATTCATATGCCTGTCATAAATAAAGAGGCTACAAATAACTTTCAATAAAAAAACACAAATATCTGTTAAAATTAATCACACGTAATTATATCATATTTCAGGATGGAAAGAGATTGGAAAATGTTTAAAAAGCACTAAAGGGATTTAAGCACCTGACTCATTTACAATTTAAAGAGAATATGAGGTTATTATTTTATGTTAGGTACTGAAACATACTGTTGAAATATTTCTTTATTAAAACTTTTTTTCTAAATGTCCTTAGATATTTAGGTTTATTCGTAATACACTTGGGCAGAAGAATTTGGCATCCAAAACCTTGGTGGATGAAAGATTTCTCATTTAATTAAGAAGCTGAAAAACTTTGTTGAGGAGTTAATCATGGAAATTATGTCCAAGATCAAAGCATCTCTGACCTGCAGATTAATCACAGTGCACTTTTTGGTAATAATAATGTAATGGTTTTGAAATGTATCATTTTTTATATCGTGTGCTATTAAGCTTTATTTTTGTATATTTACAAATATTTTTTTAATTTGTGAACACTAAGCCATAGGCCTTTACGAGGAAAGGTACATGAAAATGAGACAGAAATAAACTTACTGTTGTTATTATTAGAATAAGATAAAAATTATTTAATGGCTTTTGGTAAGATATGGACTGCTCCCTTTGAGGCAATAAATTGAGCATTCTGGTTGGCAGCAGAGGCTATCGACTCTTAAGTTTTCTGAAAATTCCTGTAATCATTTTTCTTTATTTTTAAAATTTCTTTTGAGGTATAATATTTAGCAAACGTGTGTCCAGTTTTACACAGCACGTGATTTGTTATGAATTAAGTTAATATTTCAGGAGGGCTTTTGAAAGACCACTTATTTACAGCAACTCCAACTTGAATTGTTAACTTTTCTTTATTGTGTCGTAGTATTGTCTGCTTTTGTCTCTTCTCTTGGAGTTTATCATTGTTTTTCTTGGGTGTGGACCACGCATGACAAAGTTTCCTTGTGTTTGAGGTACAGTAGTGTTACAGCCATGCAGAAAAACAGGCTACTTATGATAGAGGAGCAGAGGAGATGGTTACAGGTATTTGGGGTTTGTTCCTGGTCTTCTATCATCTGATGCAAGATGCCCAGGGAAAGACAGTAACTCTTCCGTGCTGTTTCCACACAATATAATAATTGTTCAAGTGCCACTTATTAAGTGTTACAGGAGATTACGAATGGCCTTCTAAACACCTGAAAAGTGAGGTGTCTACCTCCCATTTGTATCTCTGAAAAGTGTCCATACCTTTTTAAAATTATGTTTTTCAATAAATGGTTAAACATGAACAGTGTTTGCTGTTTTTATAGCTGTTACTTGTCTTTAGATGATTCAAGAAGGGACTTTCACCAGCAACACCATGGTAAAAATGTAAGCTGAGGTTAGTGTGCTTAATCTGAAACAGAGACTGAGGGCACCATTAGTTGGACCTAGCAGATTTCCAATGCAGATGTGCTTATCTGAGTTGAAGCAGCATTGAATTTCAGGTGTTTCTTGGCTTCATAAAAAGTAACATGTTCTCATGTTGATACCATACTTTACCATACCATACCATGCCATACCATATATCATGGTATTAAGCTTACAGTAACATGGACATAAATCTCAGGGTGGCTATTGCTCTAATGCGTTTGCTGTTGGTGCTGCAAAACCCATGTATCTTGCTAGTCCAAATTAGTTGCTATTACCTGAAAGAACGTGTCTGCCAGCGAGGCTGTGGCAAGGCAGATAACTGAAGAGTTGATTTTTGGTTATTTTATTAATATGCAGTTTAGCGTGGGCATTTCCATGTCATGCTTTCCTTTTTGTCTGCTTAAGTGCACAATTCTTAGTTTGTTGGTGCACACTGTGCCTCAGAAAAGGTGTGAGTACAAAACTTCCAACAGAGTGAAATGTCCACTATAAATAAAATTAAGGTTGTTGCCTTCAGAGTGAATGTTATTAGTGTCCATTTGGTTCTGGATCTGTTAAAACAGCCAAAATTCGTATTTCCACTGACTTCAGGTGCCAAAACTGTGAACTAAGCAAAGGAGGCATCTGAAAAATGTTCTGCAGTGGGACATTTGCAAGGCAAAGTCAGGCTCACATGATGTCCCTGTATTTCTTTGGTCGGTATCTTTGCATAGCTTAACACCTTTCCAGGCAAAAATCGTGCCTTGTGCTTGCTTTAGATAGGCCTTTAATTATCTGCTGCTCAGAAGGTCGTCTGAAAGCTTTAATGACCTTGCAATTTGCAAAAACTACTGCTAAAGGCAGCTCTTGTTACAGAAAAATGATGAATTAATCTAAAAGTGTCCTGCCAAAGCAGTGCAGTCACTTGGCCCCCTCTTTCTCCTCAGTGCACACACTGCTCTGTTGTGTTTTATTTTTCCAGGTCATTTATCTGAAATGGTAATATGGCTAACATAGGCACTCTAAATGATTTAGGAAATAATCACAGGAGTCAAAAGCTCCAGGAATTCGTAGCAGTTATTCTTCCTTCTGGCTGTCCAACAAACACCTGAAATGGGTTGACTGCGCTTTCTTCTCCTATTGCTCGATATTTGTTCAAGAAGTAGTTCTTGTGACTGTGGTTCCATTTTAATATTTTTCCTTTTTAAAAATTAATATGCAGCTACAGTGTGCTGTTCATGTGCTGAATGTCTTTCAAGTTTCAAAATGTTGTATTTAATCACGTGGCATTTCAAATTCTCCGATCTGAGCAGTAAAAAATTTTTCAAGTATTGGAGAAGTGGTTTTTGCACTTGTTCCATCAGTTGAAGTCAGGCTGAGAGAGTTGGGGTTCTTCAGCCTGGAGAAGGCTCCACGGAGACCTTATAGCAGCCTTCCAATATCTGAAGGGAGCTACAGGAGAGCTGGGGAGGGACTCTTTGTCAGGAAGTGCAGTGACAGGACAAGGGGTAACGGTTTTAAATTGGAAGAGGGGAGATTTAGATGAGATACCAAAAAGAAATTCTTTCCTGTGAGGGTGGTGAGGCACTGGAACAGGTTGCCCAGGGAAGCTGTGGCTGCCCCATCCCTGGAGGGGTTCAAGGCCAGGCTGGATGGGGCTTTGAGCAACCTGGTCTGGTGGGAGGTGTCCCTGCCCAGGGCAGGGGGTTGGAACTCGATGATCTTTAAGGTCCCTTCCAACCCAAACCATTCCATGATGCAGCCCATCCTGCCCCTGTCTGGCAGAAATTTCTGTCCCCCAGAAAACGAGGGAAGCACAGCCCGGGTGGCCAGAGGCCAAGGGGAGGTGGCCTTTGCAGGAGAATGCTGCCCAGCTGGGTAGCAGTGTCTCTTGTGCCAAGGTGTGCCTCGAGGTAGCAGCACAGGTTCCTTGGTGAGAAGAATGCAAATCCAAACACGGCAGTAGAAATCAGCTGAGAAGCACGACGTCCCCACTTCCCCGTGTGTCTAAGAGGAAGAAGGAACAAAACCAAGATGCCTCCAGACAAACTGCTCTTTGAGGGCTGGCTTCCTCCAGCTTTACCTCCTTTATTGCCAACATACCATCTCCACCCCAGCCCTCCCAGCTTCCTCCTGTGACACCTACCTCGCCACAGCAGAGTGGTGACACCCACCACAGCTGGCTTGGAAAAGCCACCGTCCCCTCTGGGCTGTGGATGTCACCCTGCGGGCAGGACGGCCGAGCTGCTGCCAGCACCCACGGGCTGGGTGGCTCTGTGCTCCGGTGCCCACGGAGAGCACCTGGATCCACAGCTCAGGCTGGGGATCACAGACCCAGAGGGACATTCCCCTGGAAACCCCATGGGAGCACCTGGATCCACGGCTCGGGCTGGGGATTGTAGTGTATGAAGAGACGGACTCAGGGCGGGGGTGCAACCAGAATTGTTTATTACAAGCAACACTCATATAGACTTTCAGATCACTTATTCTTTTTCCACTAAGTCCATGGGTGTTATCTTCTTGCCCAATCAACATCTGCTTGCAAAGTCCACCCGCCAGACAGCTGGATTCTTCTCTAATCAGTAGAGTTATCTGTTGTTAGCATTTCTGCTTATTCTGCTCCTCGTTCTGGCCTTTGCTCTTCCACAATCTTGGTCTCTGCTTTTTCCCAATCTGTCTAACATCCTGTTAACCCACAGGGGATCACGGAGCCAGAGGGATGTTCCCCTGGAAACCCCACGGGAGATGCATTTTCCTCTCTGTAAGATAAAACGTTTCCATCTTGTCCTGGCAGAGTTTCAGTAAGCCTTGAATGTCCGGAGCCCCTCCATCCCTGATCCCCCACAAATCCCCCCATCAGCATCCCCCTCTCATCCAGGCTGCTTTCCCAACCTACTGGTGTTACTCCAGACTTGTCACCCCCTTAGTTTTCCCGGGTGACCTCCCTCACAGCAGGGGTGGCCGTAAGGAGTGGCTGGGGAGAGGTGAGGCAGCCCTTGGGGTTAATTAGGAAATATTCCATGTTCAGAGCTCACCTGTGGAACAGCTTGGTGGCTCAGCAGAGATGAGGAGGCAGCGCCGCATTAGCTGGCGTTGAGAGTTTCCCTTTGAATCTTCAGAATTGGTTTTTTGGGTTTTTTTCCCCATCTGTGAAAGCTGAGCCCTCACCAGACAACGTTCTCCCCGCAGCCCGTGGTGGTGACGGTATCAGAAGCCGAGGCTCCATCCAAGCAGAGAAGGAAGCACATTTCCCCCAGCACCAACACGGCCGTGCCTATAAAACAGCTGAGACAGATCTAGGTGGTTCCTTTATTTTATTTTATTTCTTTGCATAAATACCTGCTGTTACAGCAGTTACCAAGTTTCCATTTTGCAGAAAGGCTCACGCCATCTGGGAAAACCTGGAATGACAAAACCGACCAGCAGCCCCACGGTGTCCGTGACCTTTTCGCCCTGGTTTACCACTGCGGAATAATCACCCCCTACAAATCATGCAAAAAAACAAGTCTCTGGTTCTTCCTGCAAATACCCAGCAGAGGTGTTTGCTTTTGGCTCTGCCCGACCCCTGGGACAAGAAGGGTTGCACCAACCCCCTCCTGAGCAAACAGCTCCGTGTCTCCTGGAGCCTGCTCTGATCCCCTTCCCAGCCGTGCCCCTCCGGGGGATTTTGCTCTTTCAGGTGCTGTGGTTTCCCCTGAATTTCACTGCATTTTTAGAGTTGGAAGGGACCATAGAGATCATCTAGTCCAACTCCCCTGCTAAAACAGGACCACCCAGAGCTTGTCAGATCATGCCACTCAGGACGGCATCCAGGTGGGTCTTGAAAATCTCCAAAGAAGGGGACTCCACAACCTCCCTGGGCAGCCTGTTCCAGGGCTCTGGCACCCTCACCGTGAAGAAGTTCTTCCTCATATTCAAGTGGAACCCTTTATGTTCCAACTTGTGCCCGTTGCCCCTTGTTCTCTCACTGGCAACCACTGAAAAGAGTCTGGTTCCCTGAATCCTTCCATCACCTCCCTCCTCAGCCTCTCCACAGGCAAATCCAGGTGCTGGCTTTGGTACCCCACCTGTGCCAGCCCTTCCCATCACCTCTTCATGTCCAGGTCTACCTGGGCCTGCAGACAGCTAACCCCCCTGGGAATCCTGGCAGGGGGATGCAGGAGTTCTGCTGGTGTCTTTATGCTCAATAAGCAGCTGTGCTGAAAGCTCAGCGCTTATTATGTTATCCCAGAAGGTTGGAGCAGAGGTGATGCCAGGAGAGAGACCTCTCAGGTGTTTGTTTCTCCTGAAAGCGTACCGTCAGTAATTAGTTTCTGTTTGTTTCACAGTTTGAGACAGAGTGCACTTTTTTACTGGGAAGGAAAAGGCTGCATTTCCCATTTTCAACGTTTTTTTTCTTTTTGTGTGCATGGGGCCATAAAGATCTGAGCTTCACCATTGAAAACACCAAAATTGCTTGTCTGTACCTTGTGTGCAGGAATTCTCTCTACAAACACTGGCAAATATGACTGCATGGTCAGACAGAATCGCAGAATCTTCATGGTTGGAAGCGACCTTTGAGATCATTGAGTCCAAACACACACACAAAAAAAATCACCAAAAACCAGACACAACCCAACAATCTCGGGCACTAGAGCATGCTCTGAAGAGACACGTCTACATGTTTCTTTAATCCCTCCAGGGATGGTGACTCCACCACCTCCCTGGGCAGGCTGTTCCAGTGCCTGACCACCCTCTCAGTAAAGTAATTCTTTCTAATATCTAATCTAAACCTCCCCTGCTGCAACTTTAGACCATTTCCTCTGCTCCTGTCATTATTCCCTTGGGAGAAGAGGCCAACCCCCACCTCTCTACACCCTCCTTTCAGGCAGTTGTAGAGGGCAATGAGGTCTCCCCT